CTGAATCGTTTCCTGGCAGTCCAGGTGCCCGTGGACGGCGAAAGGGAGACAAAAACGAGGAAAAACCTCAGGACCCTTTCCCCTAAGGGCATATATCCTTGTGGCGAACATACCGAGCTCCCCCTGTTTGTCTTACACGTCCTGCTGTCTGGACGCTGGCTTCTGCCGAGCACTGCTCTACTGGCTCCAGCACCCGCCGCAAGCATCCCGGCCACTTCTGGCACAGCTGCCACCGCAGCACTTGGCAGCACCTCTGCGAATCCCTCGGTCACACTGGCGCCTGACGCCCTCATACCTGCAAAACAGGGCTGGACCTAAACGTGGTGTTTCGTGTTGTTCTCGTTTTGGTGTTCGTTTTGCTCTACCTGTTTTCCTGTACCTCCCCCCAAAACGAAAAACAAAACACAGCCGAAGTCCAGCAAAACAGCGTTTAGATCCAGCACTGCCTCCAAAGTCCCACCTCCTGGTGTTGCACATGATCCCGGGCTCCGGGCCCACGCCCCCCCCCCCAGATGGGATGGGTCCCAGGGCTCCACGGGCCTTCTCCCACAGATGGCATGGGGGGGGGACGACGACGACGACAAAGACGACGACGACGACGACGACAAAGACAAAGACGACGACGACGACGACGACGGCGACGACAACGACGACGGTGACGACAACGACGACGACGACGACGGCGACGACGGCGGCGGCGGCGGCGACGACGACGACGACGACGACGGCGGCGACGACGACGACGACGACGGCGGCGGCGGCGACGGCGACGACGACGACGACGTCGGCGGCGGCGGCTGCGGCGGCGGCGGCGCCGACCTCCAGAGCCCTCCGACGACGACGACGGCGGCGGTGACGACGACCTCTGGAGATCTCCTGGAGCACCACGGTACCACGCCACACACGCCACACCCGCAGCACCACACCACACCCACAGGAGGGGGGGGTGGGGGGCAGCATCGCGCGGGGCGGGTGTGGGGGGCGTCCGATGGTATCGGCATGAGGGGGGTGGGGGGCCCAGACCCTGGACCAGATGTCCATATCCACAGTCTGTGGAGGCCCGGGAAGATCGATCCCCAGGCGTTCGTTACAGTATGGATAAAGTTCCCGCCTCGGGATGAGGGCATGAACATAAGCTTTCGGAGGTCCGTGCGCAAGTCTTGGGTCGGAGCTGAGACCCCACCCTTCCGGCACCCCGGAAGAGGAGGAGGAGGAGGAGGAGGAGGAGGAGGAGGAGGAGGAGGAGGAGGAGGAGGAGGAGGAGCGGCGCCTCTGGTCCGCCAGGCGCCGACGGGGAAGGGGCGCGGGGAGAGCTGATCAACCAAGAAAGGGCCCCGTAACCCTCTGGGAGGGGACCTAAGTTATGAGGGCCAGAGACATTAGGGATATGGGGTCTTTCATCGGATGGGCGATTTCGGGAACCCTGAACCCAAACCGTTGTCATCTCTCGGGGACACATCTTGTACTTCCGCCGCCTTCCGCTGAGCTTACTTTGCGGGCGCTACACCCTATAAGATTCGGCTGGATGTTTTGCGACTGGGCTCGATGAAAAATAACCGCCGAGCTTCCGCTGACTTCCGCCGGCGGAGGCGGCCTCGTTTTACCTCCGCCGACCTTCCGCCGCCTTCCGCCGCGGAAGAGATGACAACTCCTTCGATCCTCGAAGGCACGGCCTTTTTAGGAACGCCTCAAATGTACAAACCAAACCGCCTAGAACGATTATCCCTAATGCAGAGACGGGGACCTAAGTGAGGCCACCTCTTCACTATCTGTTATCCTCGATGAACGGTGTCCACCGCCAAGTCAAAAAATCCGCGCGGACCTTTGAAATCCAGGCGGACCCCCAGGGTTCTTCACCTGCTCGTCTGTCGTCGTCCGTGTGCCGCGTCGGTTCCCTTATCTCTACCGCGTGGCTCCACTTCGCGTGGCTGCCAAAGTGTCATGCTGCTTCCCGCTCTCTGAACTTACACTGCGTAGATAATTTACAAAACATCCAAACATAACCTTTTGATACTTTAGGAAAACAGCTACGGACGCATTCATCGCCGATATCAAACTCAGACTTCGCCATGCGCCCCAGAATCCCTCGCCCAACGGCCCGGTCCCCCCCCCCCTCCACTGGAGATATCCGGAGACTAGCGACAAATTGAAAACAAGACCCCAAACCGTCAATCCGAGATCCACGGCGAGGAAATATGAAGAGGACAAGGAAGAACGCAAGAAAGACGCTGGCACGCTGTCCGACTTGACAACTGCGGGTCTACCAATAGGTCGGCACAAATCTCGGCGCACCTTCCTTGTGTACCCGACCTCGGGCGCCAACGCCCCAACGATGGGTGCGGCGACCGAGCCAGGGCTGCCGTCCCGCGAGCGCCCCGCGTGGGGGGTGCTTTCGGTGACGCGCACAGTCCCCGACCAGGCCAGCCTGGGCGTTGAACCCCAAGGGCGGGCGGGAGAGGCGGACAAGGGGCCGCCAACGACCGAGGCAGCCCCGCACCCAGGAGCGGGCGGGTGGGGCAGAACGGCCGACGGGCCCGCGCCGCGCGAGCGCCGCACGAGCGCGGTGCCCAAATCAATATAATAGACAACCTGCGAAGCGAGCATCGCCAAGGCGCGCCGCGATCCGCCCAGTGCGCGATCCCCGCGGCGCGCCTGCGCGAGCGACCGCGGCAGGCCCGCGCGAAACAACACAGAAGCGCAAAGACGCGACTGCGGGCGGTGCGCGCTGCGGTCGGGCTGCATGCGGCGCGCGTCGCACGCGCCGCGGCGCCGCAGGGCCCGTCGGCCGACCTGCGATTTGTGCCCGCGCAGCACCCTACGGGCGCGCGCCCCCCGCAAATCTCGGCGCACCTTCCTTGTGTACCCAACCTCGGGCGCCAACGCCCCAACGACGGGTGCGGCGACCGAGCCAGGGCCGCCGTCCCGCGAGCGCCCCGCGTGGGGGGTGCTTTCGGTGACGCGCGCAGTCCCCGACCAGGCCAGCCTGGGCGTTGAACCCAACGCCACAAGCGCCCAGGCTCGCCTGGTCGGGGCGCGCCAGGCCTGCCGCGACCCAATGGAACCCCGGGCGCAGGTCGCAGTGCGCGCCGATCGTGAGCCTGGCCGACTTACCCCGCAGGCACCGATGCAGAACCTGGTCTGCTCGCCGCGCCGGCGCTTGGGCACGAGGCTGCGGCCACTGCTTCGGCGGTCGCATCGCCCTCGTGCTGGTGCATATCAAGGCATTCTTTGAAAGCGCGGGAACTCCAATCGGCACCGCGGAGGATCTCACAAAGGCGGCCGTTGCACCTCCGCCTAGTCTCCGCGTGCCCGCGGCGGAACGCTTTGCGCGTAAGAGAAGCCGCGCTTGGTGCGCTGGCGCGCCGCGCCGCCGCCTTGATCGCGCGCTGCGCGGGCACGGCGATTGAGCCGACGCCGCTGCCGTCGACTCGCCGCATATGCAGGAACGCGGGCGAGCCGACGCAAATGCCCTCGAAAAAACTACGCGCCGCGTGCGCAATGCAAGTCGCACGCGAATGTTTGCACCAGCAATTCCGCACCGCGACCGTCGGGCCGTCGCGGTGCTTACGCCGCGAGAAATGCAACGTTGCAGAATCGCCCGAAAAGAAAACGACGACTCTTGCGACTGGCCTTCGCAGGTCTTCGTCAGCGAAGGCGAAGTCCTTAAATGCCGATGGGTCGCCTCGCTCAATCAAGAGGGCCTCGGAGGGCACGCGCAGAGCGAACCCCCAGGACACAAAGAAGAGCGCGCACATCGCGCTGTCGGCACTTACAAAGTCGAGCATAGCCGATAAGTGCGAGAGCAGGACGAAACACTTCAGCGGCCGCCTCACGGGGCGCCGCTTCCCGATGGCCTTGCGGGCGCCCCTAACCGAAGGATGCGAAAAGGCCGACGCGTCCCGGCCCAACAACTGGCATGCCTTCTTAAGCTGTGCCACGTAATTGCCGAAGGTGCGCGGGTTGCGAAATTCGAGCGCGAACAAGCACACCTCGTCGGCCGACGGCGGCAGTGCGCTGCAGCCGTCTCTGTTGAGGCGACGCTGCGCGAAAGCCACCCACGCCCGGACCGCAGCCCCCCAGGACCCGAAGGAACGCGGCGCCGAGCCGACGATTGCCAAAGCTCGCGCGCGGGCCGGGCTGTCCTGCATGGCCACTGGCGACGGCGGCCCGCGAGCGCCGCTCGCGACGGACTTGCGAGGGCCGCCCGTGGGCACGGGTGACAATTTCACGCTGCGCACGGCCCTGTAAGCGCGCGCCAGCTCTCGCTTCGCCGCGCTGTCGCACGCGGCACCCGGCGCGAGCGCGCCCGGGCCGCCGCGCGCGAGCGCCGGTTGTTTCAGCACACGGGACGGCGCTGGAGGCGGCCCGCTCGGCGGCCGCGGAACTCCCGCCGCGATCTCACGCAAGCGCGCTTGGGCGTCTGCGGAGAAACGCTCAAAACCTGCTACGCGTTTCCACTTTGCGCCGCGTGCGTCAGCGACGTGTTCGAAACCGTTCGCGACCAGTACATTTGCAATCAGATCAACTTCCACATCATTGCCTGCGCGCGAAAAACGAGCGACTGAGCCTGGCGGCGCGCGCGATGGCCGGAACGCCAGGCACGCCCGCCCTGCGCAGTCCAAGCGCCAAGCGCGTCACATCCACGCCACCAGACGACAAACGATCGGAAACGCGACGCGCGGCCGAGCAGGAACGCCCCCCCCTCGCCGCGCGACCGGCGCTGGCTGCAGTGGCGGCGCGCGACCGGGGGGGGCGCGGGGGGGAGGAGGAGGGGGGAGGGGGAAGGGGGGCGAAGGGCGGAGGCACAGGGGGGGGAAGGGGGGGCCGGCGCGAGAGGAGGGAGGGGGGGAAGAAGGGACCGCACTCCCAGTGCGGCGCGCGCGGACGCGGAGCGGAAGACGCCGGGCGCTCCCAGCGCGGCGTCCAACCTGCACGCGGACGCAACCGATGATGCAGGGAAGCGACAGACGATGAGAGCCCTCCCTCTTTTTGCTCAGAGCCACAGCGCCTCCCAGGCCTCGGCTGCGTGAAACCGCGCATCGAGCACCGCTGGCACCTGGCGCGCGCCGAGCAGGTGCAAGAGACTGTAGACCTCGCGGGACGGCCCGTCCGAGATGTTGCTTTTGGACGGGACGCGGCGCACCCACATCGACAGGGACATGCGCGCCGCGAGAGACCAAATGCCGCGGACGAGGGCTGCGTGATCCCAGTCCCGGGCGCTCGCGCGCGCCACTGACCTCTCGGCCCCCGAATTGTCCGAGAACACTTCCAGCGCCCGACCTGCCAGTCGCTCTTCAAAAAAACGACAAGCCTAATGCGACCGCCAAGACCTCGAGGCCCATAATCTGGCCGTCACGTCTGCGCTTGAAATTCCGCATCAGAACTGCGTCGGGTGCGTACTCGGCAAACAGGATTTCGCCGTCTATAGAAAGCACGGCGGCGGCGCGAGGGGGCGTGCTCCGCGCGTCGCAGAACATGTGTGCCGCGGGCATGCCCCCTTGCTTCCAGCTGGCCACTTCGCGCAGCCTGAGCTCGAGCACTTGGGCCCACCAGTGCAGCGCGAGCTCGAGAGGCCGCCCGACACGATTGGAGCGCATGTGCTGGTGCGCGACGAGTGGGCGGAGCATTGCTCTGCCCAAGCGCTTAAACAAGCGCTGCGCGGCCCATGCGAGAGCGCCCGCGAGTTTCTTCGCAGCGCCCTGGTGCAACGTGCCGCACTCTAACGCATGCCGGATGGCGGGCGACCGCTTGAGCCGCTTGTCGCACGCTGGCTCGCAGTGTACGCCCTGCGCACAGAAAGAGAAGAGCAGCCCCAACACGACCAGCTGGGCCCCGTGCGCCAGCTTCGCGTCGGCAACTGCGTCGCTGCCGAGCGCGGCTATGACGATGCGAGCGAAGCACCGCGTGGCGTGGTCGGCCGCGCCGGGGCGATCCGGCGCAAAATAATCGTCTACGCATCGCGAAACTGGCAGCTTGGCGAGCCGCCTTGCGAAGTGCGAGAGCATGGCGGCCACGCGGTCCCAGTCGCGGCAAGACGCTAGCGCGCCGAACGGGCAGACCAGGTGCTGCGAGCGCCACAGGCGGCCGCCCTCCTTGAAAACACTGACAGCGGCCCAC